GTACGCCATTCTATCTCCTTACTGACCAAGGATCTTATGTAGACAGTCAACTTATGAGCGACATTTGCGATACCTTAGGAGTCGAGAAGCGTCAAACCTCTGCTTATCATATCCTAGGTAATGGTTTCGCAAAAAGAAATATTCGCTCGGTCAAAGATATGCTTCGTGCAGTTTTATTACATCGTCGTCTTGATCAGTCGAAATGGCACTCGATCTTACCCAAATTGGTTTTTGCGTTAAACGCTAGTACCAGCAAATCTACAAATTGCATTCCTTTTACTGTTGTATTTGGAAGATTAGTGGTACTGCCACAAGATATTGTTTTCCATCATGTTATTGCCAACGAACACGATAATTTTACAACGGCTGAGTATCAGCAAGATGTGGTATCATCCTAGTCCGACGTTTTCTAACAAGTTATCGAATCCTTACAGATCAACAAACAGCGAATGCAACAACACTATAACCGAAACGTGAAGAAACAGATCAGCTTCCAAACCATACAAGTCAGTCAACAAACCATTCTACAGATAGATTGAACGATACGGCTAGTGAACTATCTTCTGAAGATGGTTCGTCTTATTCTGAAGAATCAGAGAAAAGTGGACTCGAAGTCGTAGACGGAGGAGAGGTCATCATTCGGAACTATCCAAGACGTATTCGACCAGCTAGGGTCTTGCATACCTTGGAGTGCTATAACTGTTTAATTTATTTTTACTTCCTTGTATTTTATCCTATAATCTATTTTGTTGACAACTTGTTTTGTTAAGAAAGGGGGAAATGTAGGGTTGTCCCCTGACCCACTGTAAGTTATAACTTAGGTATTTGTATTGCCTTCTTCATTCTGAGATAATACTTCTATAGTAAACACAAACACGGTTTATCTGTTGCGTTATTCTAACAAGATATTTATACTCGCTCCCGAAAGAAAAACTGGAGCAATCACTTTTTAATATTTGCAAGCTATCTAGCATTCACGTTTTTCGATGGCAGAAGCTAACGTTGATCTATTCATTCATGGGTCAAGAAGTAGATCACAGAAAGATTTGTGGCAAGGAATGATGTTTTCTCTTAGAATGTTTTACGATCTTGTTCTGAACTTTTTTTTAAGATAACAGTTTCATGCTTTTCACTAGTTGTTTTTGTAAAGAACAAAAGGATGAATATGGTTGCCTAGCTGCTGCCAGGTGAAAATAATTTGACATCAAGGAACACACTTCGGTGTTGCTTTTTATAATCATGAAACAATATAATTAGCGATTTTTCATGTTTTCGAGAAACCTTAGATTCAACACATTTCTGCGTTGTTCAACGAAATTCCAGTACTTAAAGGAGAACTGACACGCAAAAATAACTTTGGCTTATTCGATGCAAAATTTATCGCTGACTTCAAATCTGGAAAAAGTTTTCTTCTTAGATTAGCCGTTTTTCTGATATTTGCACTTTTATCCGTCAAATACGTCACAGCCAGGACTCGGGAATTTCCCGAAGCGGAAACAAGATTATCGCCAGGAGTTGTTAAAATTCTCGGTTGACGTCACAAGTGACATGTTAACAATGCCGTTGTAAAGGCTTTCACCGCAACGGTGAAAGTACAAATGAAGTTTCCTGTTTTATTGAGAATAGTCCGCGGTAAAAAGACAAAAAATTGTCAGGCATTGCATTTATAAGTATAAAGAAGCTAGAAAATCTAGCTACATGTCTGCTAAGACGCTAATATCCACATAAAATTTATTTTCATGCGATGATATCTTCGAACCAGCATGCTTTGAAACATTGAAAGAACCTCTAAGCTTGTGAAAAAGGAGTCAATTTTGTTTGAAAACTGATACCGTTTCTTCAAAGTTTTTATTTTTACAATTACAAATAAAATCGCAACATGGGGGGTGGGCATGGGATGTGGTTGAAGCAATAGCCAAAAGACAAACGAAATCTAGTGGAGACAGCGGTAAAAGCGATCCTGCAACTTGCTTTGGGTGCAGAAATATGAATTCAAGAAAAAACTTTGGTTGATGGGAGCTGCGAGTGTGACTAAATAATTTCACTGAGCTTGATTATTGTATTTTAACAGAGGTTGAGATACTAGGGAATAATCTAGTCTAGAAAAAGACCATCCCCCACCCAAGTCAAAATTGCTTGCAAAAGAGGATAATGCGCCAGTTGATATTCCTATGACAGCTAAACAGCATTCTTCGACTAAGAAATCAAGTTCTTTGACTAAGAGCTAAGAGCCTATTTCGTAAATCCAGATCTTTCGACTGCCAGGTAACTTATCAGTTCCCGAAACCCTTCACGCCCGGTGAAAATGGCATAAAATCCGCACAAGTCGACTTTTAACCCGCCTTTACTATTTAATATCACTATACAGTTAACGCGTTTAAAACATTGAAAAACAATCATAGAATGTTGCATTAACAATTAATAACTTGCAGTTCCGTTTAGGGCATCATAGCCATTTCAGCAATTTTTTTAGGCCATACAAACAAAGCAGTCTGGACAAAGACGCCTCAATCTGAAATGAAATTCTAGTTTTACGATACCTGATCTCATTTAGATTGTAGCAATAGCACTGTTTTTGATAGAAATTCCATATCAGTTTGTACTTCCAGTCCGTTTTTGTTCATAATATCGTCACTGTTGAGCCACGGGACGACTGTCTGCCCAAGCGGCAGCGCTGGTTGGTAGCAAAAATTCAGACGGCTGAAACTCTCCATTTGTTTCGAAATCAGTGTAATAAAACTCCGATTCAGAGTCCCAAACCATTGAAAAAGTCAATTATGTGTCAAAAATGCAAAATTGGCTCCTTTCACATGCACAAAATAAACATTTGTCCGCAGCATTTTGTTAAAGGTTTCTATAGAGAAACACAATACGTGCTGAGAACATGTCACTTGTGACGTCAAAGATGATCGCCCACTCGTGACGATTTTCGCCTCGAGTTTCAAGTTGTCGGAACAATTGTCGTTTCTCAACTTAAAACGCCTGTATTTCAAAAACGGTAACTGTGATTTAAAAAATTTTTTCGATCCAGGAATTTGCTTGTCACGAACTACCGTTTTAGCCAAACTTATTTTTGCGTGTCAGTTCTCCTTTAATGTACTCTAGAGAAATAAATTGACATGTTGCAGCATTAAAAAGAGCACACTGGAATTAAATAACACCTGTACCTTATTACAAGGTTATAACCTTCTTAGAGGGTGAAGCTGTTCGTAGAAGCCCAAAAATGAACACATACGTGTCAGCAGGTTAACTTATTGTGATGTTTTGGTATTGACTGACTCTTTCATCATTACTTAATTTTGATGAAAGAAATTAAAAAAAGAAAAAAAGCCTCTGGTCAAGGCGGGAAGAGAGCATACGTGTTCCTGAAATTTTCTAGTGGACAGGGCAGAAACCAACGAGGAACATTTCGGAGCTTTAACTCTCTAGTCGGTGCATGTCTTGGACGCACCCAAAGCATTCCGGCGCATACGGCTAGATGGCCGATTTAAACATAACTTTTTGTTTGGTCAATCGGCTGCTCTTTTTTTGCATTTTAAATATCGAATGTAAAACTGCATTTTTGGAATTTGGCAAACACGAGCAAGCTCTTTTCACCGAAAATGAATTTATAGAACTTTGGTAGAAGAATTTACGGTATTCGATGCATAAGACAGCCAGGAAACGAGAATCAATAGATGATAGAACAACCCTGAAGCAGGTGGGTAACTCAAGAGTGCAAGGATGAAATCTTGTTTGGCACAACTTGATCAATTAAAGTGGGCATAGAGTTCTAACATGTGCAGACGATTTTGCTATTGTCCAGGCACACAAGTTCAACTGTTCATAGCTTAGATGCCGAAAAAACTGAATTGGAAATTGGTCCATATCCTAAACAAAAATGATGATCATGTCCTAAGCAAAAATGAATCACAAAGGTAGTGCAAGTTTCTTTAGGCTCAATAGGAAATGAACGTGCCATCGATTAAATAATTATTTTAATGTTTATCCTACTACTCTAACTAAACCATAGTTAAGAATTGAAAATATTTGATCGCGCTTGAAGCCAAACATCCCTCCCTCGAGACATGCCTGAAATTCTCATAGAGCTTTGAGTCCTTATCGCCAGAAATGTTTTTGAGTCCTTATCGCCATGGAAATCGCGTGCTGAGTCAGATGCTTACAAATGAAAAGCTAGCATTGGGGGATGAAGAAATCGTGGCTTACTAGCTAGGGGGGTTGAGTCGGTGTAGAGCTGATTCGAGCTGAACTAAGCGGTAGTCAGCCTGCCTAGACCAATAAAATCATCAGAAATCACAGCCAACCTGGTGGGATGCATGCAGTTTTTCTTAACAACCAATGAGCAACCGAATCCCAGTATTCGTAGATGAGGGTAGTCAACCCCCGTACGTTAGAGTTAGAGGCGTTGAAAAAGTATCGAGGATTTGTGACGAAGGTTATTCTTCAGTCTTCCTTTCGTACCGGACAAGGCTGTTACAATTGCATGACTTAATGCGAGTTCTAGGTGGCCTTTTACAAATATTGCCAAAGATATTTTTCGTTTTCTTATTCTATTTTGTTGCTAAGGCTTAATGCCGTAAATATTTTTGGTATATCCAGCCTCAGAACAATAGCAACAATAATTTGTTGCTTCTCAGGGCTATTCCAAGGATACTTAAAGTTTCACAAAAGCGCCGTTTGTGTCTTGAAAATGAGCTACATAAGAAATTATAGGAAACAATAACAATTTTAGAAAACAGGGTGTGTCCAGGAAATAGGTGTGGTATAGAAGGTGTAGTCGACCTTCTATCTATTTTCGGCGGTAGTCAGACTTTTGGCTGGATCCGCTAATGAAACTAGCTTTTCAAACTCACAATCCTTAACGAAATCAGTACGAAACACCATTTGATTGCCCTAACTTCTGATAAAAAGTAATCACGCGTTACGTGAATTAGTTGCTCCAAATGGAAAGGTGAATGTGTAAATGCAATAAAGGCAAACATAATTACAGAAATAAATACCTGTGGAGTCATTCGAAAATTCAGGTCTGCCAGCACGTATCCAGAATTTGAATTATATTTCACATATTTTCCTTCGATAAAGTGTTCGAAATGAAAGAGTGGCCTATTTTCTCGCTGATATAGCTCAACAATGTATACTTGAAAAATGTCAACCTGAAAAAAATGCACATATTAACCTGACCAATCACGCCAATAAGCTAAAAAGATAAGTAGATATGTAGAGTTACGGTTCAAGGTTTAGTGTTGACTCGGTCTTGATTTTGGCTATGAATAGTATCTAGGAAGCAGGTGTGCCCTCGGTTTTAAGAATGCAGTTCTTTTCTAACAGTCTTTGCTGTTCCTAAGGCCAGCTTATGTTACAATTCCGTATTGCATTCTGTATTAAAAACAGTCACTTTTGCTCACACCTCCCAGTAATCGATATTAAGCTTCGGTAAAAATAATTGTCTTAGGAATATGGCTCTTATCCATCCTTTTGACATGCCAAAGCCACCACACCCGAAGCCAACACTATTAATAATCAATATAAGGAAATGAAATACATAAGTTTTCTCAAAATAGATGAGAATAAACAATAGTTGAATTGAGTTGAGTTTCAAATTTTTGATCATAAAGATCAAAGAATCATAAAGATCATAGTTTACACAGCATAAGGGACAATATTTCAGAGAATCCACGGCACCAGTCATCAGACTTGGAGTGTACAACTCTGCTTATTATCGTTCATTCCATTGCCACCAGCTTTAACGGCCAAGAAGACCTGAGACTCGAAAGGACCCAAAAAGAATTCATCTAGATTTAGTGCCGACACCAGAATAGACTTTTAAAAAATTAGTGAGTAGAACAAAGTCATTTCCCCCTTCAAATGTCTTCTGGGTATCAGTTGTCAGAATCAATTGAAAGAATACAGCAAAGGAAATTAAAAATTAAAAAAGAAACAATACCTTCTTTGGTGGATCTTTTCTATTGTATTCTTCAGCCCATACCTTGGCATCCATTTGAATTTTAACATCATCAAAGTATACCTTTTTTGCCACTTCCTCAATATACTGCTTTGCCACATAGTTTGATGCATTATTCCAGTCATTGCTGTGACTAAATTTGGACAATTTTTTTCTGTAATGAATGCAAAAATGAAGCTAGCTATGATGTTACGAAAAAATTACATTTGAAGAAAATTTGATAAATGTAAAGAAACGAAATAGATACATGTACATGTAATGAATTTCTTTAAACTAATGATAATACTTTCCTCCGAGCACAAAAAAGAAAGGCACAGCTGCAGTTAGAATTCTGAGCAGACAGCTTGAAAAATTGGTATATCAAAATTGTAGTAAAATTCTTAAAAGAGTTTTTAATGAGAAATTTTCAATGAGATATTCTAAGAGCGAGAAAAGGCAAAAAAAAACTCACGTGCGAAAACATTTTCTCATGGCTCCTCTTGCAAAAGACTAAAAACGATAATAGTAAAATTTGAATAATAACACTTTTCTTTTGGCTTGCTAAGTTAATGCAAACTTGGATCCTTTAAAGACCAGTTCATTTTTAGTTTGTTTCTAAGCTTATTTTAATTCAAGCTTCTAACAGAAACTAATCTAAACCGACTGTCTAAGTAAACATATGATAAGAAATAAATAAATAAATAAATAAATAAATACATACATAAATAAATAAACAGATAAACAAACAGAAAAATAAATAAATAACTAAATAAGCCTTTGGTACCGCAAAATTTGAAATTAGTATGGAAAGAAATGGAAACATGTCATACAAAAGTATTTTTCGTTTGACACACGTCAGCAGTGCTTCCACTGTTCAATTTTAATTTCTTAAATCACGGCTGAAATTTTTCAAAACTCCTTAAAATTCCTTCAACATGAACTCTATATTCTTTGAATATTTCTTTGCCAGATTTTCCCTAAATTAATCATGTTAGTATACAAATACCAGTTTTTCACAATTAATGAATATTCATTCATTTTCGGCTTTAAATGACCAATTAAATGATAAGGTGCTAAAACAACAAATAATCATCATAAATTACAAAAGTTGCATGTCACTTAAGCATCAGGCTCAGAGAATATCATACAGTAGTACCAGGTAAAAGAAGGACCACAACAAAGAATAATGGAAGCAGATTTTTTCATGACAAAAAATATCATAATAGTACTAGTTTACATTGATGGTGATTAATGATAGCATTATATAAAATAAGTATAAGTCAATAAGATTGGTTTAAGTCTACAGATCAAGTCCACAGTTCGCTCGTAAATTTTCTCTGAAGTTATCTTGAATCGGCATCAGTTACTTTCATCTCCATTCTCCTATGGAGGGCAATCATCACTTTGACGGTTTCAATGGGACAGCTAGCTTGGTGTGATACCTTGTATTTAAAAAATGCTTCGTCTGCATAAGAGCAAAAAGATTTCTATATTATATCGCTGTGCGATGATCATTCTTAATGAGCATCAGCTGACTAAAATCTCTTTCGACCGAAGCATTAGAAAACGGAAAAGGCAGGAGCACCAATATGACTTTCAACAAGATCATGATTAGAAGTGTCCCAACACTATTGGGGTGCTTGAAAACATTTTTCGAACAATATTGGCATCTTATCACTCCACTGAGGCTGGCAATGAAGGCATGAGTTCTCCACTCCTCATTAACTTTCTTCAAAGGAAGCAACTTGAGACATGTGAAGCTGATAGCTTTTTCTGGATTCAAGAAACTCAGAAAGTTGAACTTAGAGCAATTCGCTAATCTCGATGGTATCTGCTGAACGCAATCAATCTACAAAACCTTGCAGTGAGAAAAAAACCAATGCAAACCGGTATGTTTTTCTCCGAGATCAGCGATGATGCTCGGAAGAATATTAGTAGCCATAACCTCAATGTAGAATTTGGTTAGAGGGATTAATTCCGGATCTGCTACTGTCACGTACTCAACGTTCATGAATTCTGCGTATATGTCTTTGATTAGTCTTGAGACCTCTTGCTCCAGCTGATGCAGCAAAGGCATCTCATTCGGAAAAAGCAGATTGAATGGTGTCAGCCTATCAAGGTTGTGTGCAATGAATTGAAGGTAGGCCAAAATGAACTTGCTCTTCAAAAATTAAAGTATAAGGTCGTTTGTGTGCTGTGTGCGTTTGATCTTCAAAGAGTGCGACTGAGAAGTATTGTGACAGTACCTCAAATTGTTAAATGATTCTATTTACATTGAGAACCCTCTTGTCTGTGCAGCCTGTAACATTCTATCTTTTTCTGTTCCACAAAAATTCTTGAAAATCTTTTAAGCAATCTAACCGCTTTGACGTTGCATTAAAATGTGCATGAATAATTCTGCACAAGTCTTTTAAAGATTTTGGCAGTGTTTTGGAAACTTTGGAGGCACAAAGGTGAATGAAATGGCAGGAGCATTTTCCAGGCATAATCCAAGGATACTTCTCCGTCCGTAGTTTTGATACTGAGTGATGTGCGCCAAACATCACATTGAACATTACAAAATCCTATCACATTTTCCATTGGAATATGCGCTTTACCAAGACTCTGAATCACGCGGTCAGTGATATTTTGCGCCTTCCTATCTTGAACTTCAACCAAGTTCAGAAACACACTTTCATGCTAATTTCATTTACAAAAAGGACAGCAAATACTTAAAACCTACAAAATTACTTGGAACACCCAAGACTTTGCGATGTGCTTCTTTATTTTTCATTTGTTTTCCCGAATACTACTACTCCCGTTCCCCTTTCCCACCAAAACAATGTTGAAAGTGCCGAAACATATCATACATGCCACAAGAAAAAGCGTACCCAAAAAGCCTTTTTTTTTTCTATAGTAAATCAACATGGTTCTTAGGGAGGGAGGAGGTGGCTGAATTTTCCTTTGAAAACAAACATTACTGTTTCAAGACATTTGGCAGTGATTGTACTATTTTATTTCTGCTTTTACTTGTAATTACGTTTGAAAGTATTCAACCGCTTCGACAAACATGTCATGGCGAAAGGATTGTAAAAATTCCCAATCATTGGCAACATTTAAACAAGAATTAAGAGCACACCCTATAGAATGCGACTGTAGATTGTGTAAAAAATTTATTGCTGGGTTAGGTTTTATTTAGAACATTATACCTTAAACCTTTTTAATATTGTATCATATATTTTTATTTCATACTAACTCTTTATAGATAGTTGGCCTTAATTAGCTTCTTTATAGCTATCAACCGTTCATTTAGTACGCCAACTTTAAACAAATTATTTATTATTATTATTATTATATAAAAAGATGTTCAATAAAAATTGAATTACTTTTGTAAAGCCGTTGCATTAGATAACACTTAAACATTGGGATATCTGGTTAATCAAAAATTCTAAAAAGATCATGTCTTTAATTGTCATAATTGTGATATCGTTATTGGGCAGTCTCAGCGCTTTTAGGCCTGCAAAGTTCTATTTGAAGACTTGCGCCAGAACATGCAGCAACGATAATTTTAAGACCAAGCAAGGACGTCCTTTCTTTTAGGCGTTTTAGAATTTTTCTAGACCAAACCAAAAGATTCCAACCTGTGTCAACAGAAAGAGCTCGTTTTCTCTCTCGGACTCTTGAACTACTTGAGAGATTAGCAACCGCGGTTGGTCGAAAACAAAGAAGCAATCAAACGCGCGTACAGTCAAAAGGTTTTACAAGTTGAGCATGGTTCTTTTACGCCATTGATTTTCGCTCACAGTGGTGGTTCAAGTAGAGAAACTGAAAAGTTTATATCGGTTTTATCTATGAAGATTTCAAAGAAACATGATCTATCAATTTCACTGGTGACTAATTGGATTCGCACAAAGCTGTCATTTGCACTTCTTCGTAGTGCCATACTATGCATACGTGGTTCCAGGAAAAGGCGAACAAAAGTTGAAATGGACACAGCCAACATAGAAATTGTACAAACAACATCCCGGATTGATTAATTACAATTGTTGGAAAAAATAAAATAAAATTCAAGTTTTTTTTCTAAACGTGTGTGAACCGGGGGCCTTTCGGTATATAAACGGCGGCAAATGTTGAATCATCGATGAGAAAGAAAAAAAACCAAACGCGCTATTCCTGCTCTCACGTCACATTGGATCCACATGTGGAAATAAATTTTTCTGCTTACCTTTGGACATTATCCGACATTTATACTCAGACGAATAAGGAAAAAATTACTTTAGTGCGACATTTTTCCACTTTTTCGTGCTGCTTTCATATAAACAAAATTTTATGTTTATACTAGTTAAACTAGTTACAAACACTACAGCTGCAAGTTGGCCTATTTCCTTGTTAATTAGTCTATTTAATGTTTGGATGTTTGCAGCTGCTTCAATCTCTTTGGGCAAAGTATTTCAAGTATTTGTCCCAATAATAGGAGACTGTTCACACCGGAAGTAGCTTGATTAGCCCTACGATGAAATAATTCCTGTGGGTTTCTTGCAGATCTTCATGTTCTTTCGATGTTAAAATTTCTAAAAAGAGGGATTTAGTTTTGAGACAGTTCAGGTCCAAAAAGTAGGTACGATGCCGTTCGCAGGCCGAAAAAACTTCGTACGTGTAAAAAAGCATCACTTACGAAAATTTCGAATCCAAAAACATACACTCTGTGACTTTAGAGTCAATAAAAATACTTTTCACAAGGAGATATGTTTATGAAAGTAAGTAAGTTCTCGTGGGCTGACGAAAAAAAGTATTTAAGGCGATAAAGTGTAATTCGTTAAGTATTTCCCTATTTTTCTATCCTTCGATTGCTTTATCTACGATCATACGCACATACGCCTCTTTATTACCCCTTTTTACTTTAATGCATTTCAGCTTGAATTTGTTTGTCTTGTAGGATTAGTTTTTCTTCTATTGTGTCTGAGCTTGGTTCATATAAACGAAAAGATCGTGCATGAGTTAAAAAAGATTGGGCCAATAAAATGTCCTTGAGGCACGTCAGAAATAATATCTAGAAAGTATTTTATTTGTTATTCTTACACACTGCCTGTTGTCCGTGGTGCAGATATGAATGGTTTAAAACAGGTGCATCTTCTTGGAAACATACGATGATAATTCGCAATAAGTTGATCATTTGGGATACATTAAACAACCTTGGAATGCTGCATCAAAATGCCAAGAAGGAATACAGCAAGAAAAACAATTAAAAAACTAAAATTATCTTAAAATAAAAAATCCACAAAAGTTACCTCAGTTTGCATTTTAACTTCAATTTCATCTCTAACCCACTTTTTTTCTAAAGCACTGTATCTATAGCGGTATGCCCTCTCAACATCACAAGAGTCTGGAATATTGTACTCTTCCCATGGATCTTTTCTTTCCTTTGCTTTCAGTACTGCAGACTTCCAGGTATCTTTCCACTCGCTTTCAGAATGTGATCTGTTAATTGGGATGGTAGGACTTTGAAACCAAGGGACAGACTTTGAATGGATCATACTTCTCATTTGCTTGACTCGGTTGATCTAATGATAATAAAAATAATAACGTGAACAATATTTTGGCGGACCAAGACTTTAAAAAGACTTTGAAAAAAGCAAACATTTCATAACATATTAACTTGAAGCTTTTGCGTCGGAAACTCCACAGAGTATAAAACGTTAGAATAAGGTTCAGAAAGAACTATATTGGTTGGAGAACTATACCGGTCATGTGCTTGCCTTTTTCTGATTGGCCTAGACGAAAAAGCCCTAAGTTAGTATGCTGTGAAATGATTGTTTTTTCAATTTCAAAATACTAGTGTAACGATAATAACAGTAATAATAATAATGAATCATGACCAGTATCTCCATAGGATGGCTCTTTACCTGCTCATTAAATACTATACAATGTAAAAGTTGCTAATATCATATTTCTAAGAAGATACAAGAAACAATGTCAAATTAACCTGAAAAAAGATTAAGATTGTTTTAATTTGACTAAAGGTGACCTAACACAAGTAAAAGTTTGCATGTAAATTTTATTTGAAAAATATAAAGGGGAAATAAATATATATGATAGGTAGCAACATTGCCAATCATCGAGACAATTCCAGTGTATAATGTACATATATCCAATATGACAAAAAGATATAAATATTGAGTTATAAGAAAGCTAATATCTTCGCCACGATATAAGAAAACGAAGCTTCATTTCCTTAGCTTAGACCAAATTAGCATACACTTTTCGTTTCGATAGTTCGTTCATATGCAGAAATATAGCAATTGTCTATTCCATGTTCGGTAAATATGCTCAGAAAATACAATTTATCGAGCTTATCGGTGCACCGGAGAACCATCCGCCATTATCCCGATTTGCAAGTCAAGCCAAAAATGCACAATGTCCCGTATATTTAGTTTGTTTACAAAACCGTGATTTTGCTTATAAAGACTTTTAAAAATAGATATGACGTCATATTCATGCTATTACAAGGCCGATAAATGTGCTAAAAATATATCATTATCTGCTTTCTTTGACTTAAGAAGGTGGCTGTGGGTTTGTTGGACCTGTTCCAATGCAGCTGTTTTCTTATACATATTGATCTCAATCACCTCCCACTCCATGGTCTTCTTTGTCTCCATTGATTCCATTTCAAAATATCTGGTCAAAATCAACTGAGACCTCTAAACACTGTGCTATGCTTCAATTGAGACCTCTTTTATTTTTTGAAAGTCTTTATATAGTAAACATCAGTTTGCAAATAATGCCTCTGTTTTATATGACCATAATATAAAAAATGAACAGGGTATACCACTATAAATCTTGTTAGGCGAAAAAAAGTCTGTTTTTCATTTGGTAAGAAGAGGCTGTCTGAAAATATTGATTACTTTTAAGGGCATAAATATCTTGAATACTCTTTCAAAACCAAAGCAAAAGCTGAAAAGTCACTTTAGAAATATATCCAAATGGTTGCTGGAGAATTTTAAAAATTACATGCAAACACTATACATAAAGATTGTCTACATGTGCAGTGACTTGATCATTTAAACAGTGACATAAACATTTCTACTCAATTTATCCTTTCTATTGAAAGTTGTTAGCAATTAAAAACTATTTTGACATTGCAATACCTGCGAAGGAAAATAATGGCAGATCACACAATAACTTTTGTAGTTGTCTAATTAAGTTACTGTTTGTTCTGCCAATGGCATGCAAACAAGCTGGTAAATTCAATGAAGCGAATTCAAATTAAAAGTTGAAACAAATTTAAATCAAACAAACATTTTGTAGCAGTGCTTCTGGCTCTGATGACCTTGGAAAGTCACTTTGGAAATGATGTACAAATTTTTTTGTTGAAAAACATGAAATGAAATGAAAAGAGATGAAATAAATGAAATGAAATGGAATGTACAGTATCAGCATGTCAAGAAGTCAAGAGAATGAGACAGCAAAGAGTACCAGGCAGTAAGATAGTAGCCTAAATATAAGCTACCAAAGACAAAATTGTTCCCCAAGTCTTGTGATATGGTATGTTTTTACCAATTGCTTTTTACAGTGAAAAAGTAAAACTCAAATTGAACAAAATGAACTAAGATGATCAAATAAAAAATGACACCATTAAAAGAGATTTTGCAAGTTGCAGTTTATGATGTTCACTGATATCGTGGTTGTAATAATCAAGGATGCAGACCAAAAAAGGCAATTTTATGCATACACTCGTTTGCCATCGAAATTAAAATTGTGACAAGAAGCACCATCTGTTTGGTACCAGTCTCATTCACTTTGGGTACACTTCAGTAGAAAGGGACAACAACACTGACTGAAGGCAAACGGTCAGAAAATAAACTGAAAAGCAGTAGTGCTTAAACTCACAATAGACACTACAAAGACTTAATGTGATGTAATCGATTTTATAGGATGACAAAGACACATGAAGATTACAAAACAATCTCACATTAACCAAATCCCTGACAAGGTGGTCAGGCACATAAACAGTTTTAAGCACAATATACTTGCAGTGCATGGAAAAAGCTTCAAATTGATCCCTCACATGGCACTATATGATAACCTGAACTGAAATTATGCATAATGATCAGAATTTGTGGACAGGTAAAAGTGGAAATCATGATGATTTTTTGGGAGACCCCTCCAGTTCTTTTTTTAATACTAGTTTATTTCTTAGTTTAAACAAATGTAAACAATTAGATCTTTCAAAATTCAGCAACATGAAGAAAATTGTAATGTACCATAAAAGCTCTATTAAGCCCCATCTCTATTAAGCCCCCTTCTCTAATAAGCCCCCCTTTTTCAAGCAGAAATTTAAAACAAGCCACCCTCTCTATTAAAGCCCCCCAAATTTTCATACAAGAAAAACTACTGACTAAATTGCAATGATTTAGTGATAGCTCATGATGCATTTTGTCAAAATATTGCCAGTTTCCAATTCATGTTTTTGAGAGTCAAAATTTTCTTGTCCAGTTCTGTCTTCAGTGTCTCTAACAGCTGTTGAGAATCACTCAGTGCAGTATAAGTTCCTGGAACAACCAATACATCAACAGGGGCATAACTTGGCCAATAGGCTTGGGGGGGGGGGGTGAAAAGGGTTTCTGCCCTGCAAAACTGAGTGGTGCCCTGCAGACCTCATAGCGAAGGTTGTCTATACTCTATAGGTTACTAGTGAAAGCTTCACCAGTGTCCACTGGTCTTTACCAAGGACAAACTTCTAAGCAATAAAAACAAACTTGAAACTTCATTGCCTATGAAATATCTATTTCTCTACGTGAGCGTAAATTAAATGTCAAATTTGACTTTCAATTGTAATAAAGCCTGTATTTCGTGGCATATGGTTAGGCGGGTTGGAGTATATGATGTAGATGGTGAAGAATCAAGTTTAGTGAGATAGGAGGACCCACCATGGTTGAGTCCGACGTGAAGAAAATTGTTGAAATTATACCTTGTAATAGGGCTAAAAAGCATAATTTAGCAGAATGCTATTGTGCTAAAAAAACTGATTATTGTTTATTGGGAAAAATAGGGAGGGGCATTTCATGCTAAAACTCTAGTGATAGACGTTGGGGAAGGAAAGAAACAGTAACCTTTTGTTTCAGACTCACATAGTTGTGAATGACAGAGGAAGATGTTGTTTTGATTGGAGAATTTTATTTCCTGAAAAGAAATGTGCATTTGCTTGTATCGAGAAGGCAATGTTTACACATCCAAAATTAAAACATTGCAATGATACAGAAAGTGATTTACTGAATTATTGCAAATAAAAGAAAAATAATAAAAAATATATGTGAAAAAATTAGTAATTAGATCAAACAAAATCAGCATCTTAACAGTTTATTCTCTTTTTATTTCATGCACTGTTAGAAAGTAGTAGAAAAAATGATAAAAATATTCTTATCTTGACCATAGTGAGGGCCTTCAGTCCCCTGTTCCCCCCAGTGACGCCCTGCCTGTCGTGAAAATAATTCACAACTTAAATTAACTTGTATGGACTCAACCTTGCCCTCATAAACATATGCATCAATCATTGCATGCATTGGCTATGACTTTCAGTAAGACATGCTTTTGCTTTGCAAATAACAGAGCTTATACTGATAAAATACTGTAACAAAATACTGATAAAAGATGTTAGCAAAAACAGCAGGATCTGATATAATGTTACTGTTAGGATCTTTAAGTTTAATTCCTTTTATGCTTATAACTGATTTAATTCCTGACCAAAGTTGCTTCATGTTGCTACTGTTTTTAAAATAATTGGAAAAATAGGTAGCTTTACTTTCTCTCAATGACTCTGTAAGTCCTTCAGGTCCACGGAAGAAACCATACTTGAGTTAGCTTTGGAAAGAGGGCATTCCACGACACAGGGTCATGTTTATTTAACTCTTTGGACCCTTCTTTAAGAAAGGAAATAAATTTTAATTCTTTCCATAAAGCCCTTTTCAAGACTCTTAAAGAAAAAGCTGTTAAGCAACTCATATGGCTCAGTTGTTAGAGGCGCTGACTACAGACCCAAGGGTCCATGGTTCCAGTCCCTGGCATGACCAAACTTTCACCCAGAGTGGGGAGAGTTGCCAGCTCTCTGTAATTCTAGGCGTAGGAATTGCGAGGTGTGGTCACATCGAGAGGAAGGACCAGGACACTATTTGATAAGCATAGCTTCACAGTGTCCTAAAACTACCTTCAGATGCTAGGTAGTAACAAATACAAATACAAATAAAAATGTGTAATGAATTTTATCCATAATTCAAAGGGTACTTTTGATAATGTTTGCAAATCCTTAAAGTGAGTTTTCAAATGTATAACCAGTGTGTGGATAAGCAGAAATTAATCCATAATTTTTATTACTATTATTATCATTATTTACCTGATTTCTTAACTTTTTGTAAAGATCTGAAACAGGCAGGTCATTATTCTTTTCAGCTTTATTAGCAATTACATCTTTTATGTACATTATTTTCTGTATTCTGCCATTAATCCATGGTTCATTTCTAAATTTTAGATCTTTTTGTAAGATTTTCTTTGTCAAGTTTATATCAAAGTAAGGTTTTTGTGAAGGCAGAGAAAGGACATAGAGCTTACAGATTTAAAAGTAACTTTGAGTAAAAATTGCCTTGTAAAGGCATTGGTTTGACTCCATCAAAAAGGCTGTTTTGCATTATTTTGACACTCCCTATGTAAAAATGGTATTTCTAAAAACTTCGAAATCCTCAATTAATTTCAAAATTTGACTCCTGGTCTAACAAGATATCTTGTTAGACAAACAAGTAGAGCTAGAGCCCAGTGTCCTTATGCCCAGGTAATTAAAACAAGAAGGAATGATGGAAAAGATGAATCATTTCCTTCTTATTTTAAAAATTTGATAGGTTATTTCAAATTTTAGATTTTTCAACAATAAGAAAGCAAATATTGGAAGAATCTAAACTACCAAGACAAAAGTATTGCAACACCTGCGAAGGCGATTAATGGCGGATCGCGCAATAACTTTTGTTGTTGTCTGATTAAGCTATTGTTTATTCAGCCAATGGCACGCAAATAAAATTGCAGATCCAATGAAGTGTTAATTCGAATATTCCATTTTCTTTTTTCAAAATTTTAAATCAGCAATTCAAGTAACTTTTAATTAAACAGATATTTTGTGGAGGTGCTTCTGGCTCTGATAAGTGCAGAAAATTGCTTTGGAATTGATGCACAAAATTTGTTGATGAAAGGCACTGGGATTCTCCTTCGTTCTCCATAAACTCTCTAAGTCAGTTCTTGTTTGGATCTTAGAGAACCTTGTGGATTTCAAATCAGATCATTTTCATTGGCAACAAGAAATATTAGCTTATTTTAAGGTTAGGTCTTTGTGATGGCCGAGGAAGGACATAGAGTTTGCAGATTTTCAGGTAAATTTGAGTAAAAATGGCCTTGTAACGGGGATGTATTGCTTTTTATGATAAAAACTGCCTTCCTCATTTTCCTAGCATTAATTTGATTCCACCAAAGAAACTGTTATGCATTATTTTGACATGTTTCACTGCATTAACTCGCACGTCGCTAGTTCATGATTTACTAATTTATATAGGCCTAAATGTACCAAAAAAATTATCCAAGTTTTATTGGAGAATTTCAAGGCTAAAAGAGTCAGAGCTAATAACTTCATTTGTTGTTTCCTAAACTTTCACTATTTTGCTATCATTTTCTATAAAAAGTTGCAAAATCTTTAGAGTCGAGAGACCAGTTACACGAAGTTTTATCGCAACTAATCGCTCCTTATCTTGTCAATATCTTGAATTTACCACTGCAGATATTTTTCTTATAACTGTAAAATTTCTTACGTTAATATTGTAACTCTAAGTTTTTCAAAATCCTCAATAAATTTCGAAGAATTTGCTTCCTGGTTTAGAATGATTATGCTTATTTTTGAGGGGAATATTTCAGTGTAAAGTTAAAAGTTTACAAAACTTCAAATTTTTTTGATGCCATTTTGATTAGTTTGTTGCAATACTTTTGTCCTGGTAGTGTAGATTATTTCAGCATAAAGTTTGCAAAGTTTCAATTTTTTGGATGCAATTTTGACTTTGGTGTTGAAATACTTTTGTCTTGTAGTGCATCTATTTGGAAGCTGCTTTTTCTTCCAATATTTGCTTTCGTATTGTTGAAAAATCTAAAATTTGAAATAACCTATCAAATTTTTAAAATAAGAAGGAAATGATTCATCTCTTCCATCATTCCTTCTTGTTTTAGTTACCTGGGCCTAAGGACACTGGGCTCGAACACTACTTGCAGCATTACAGAGGTCTAGTAATTTACCACTTTACCTATTTCTCACAATAGCAATTGATCAATTGTTGACCATATTGATCATCAAACAACAGGTTTTTACAAAATGAATATGCCTTTGTGAAAACTGAAGGTTAGGCCCAGACGGCCATTTATTAGCTAAATCCCCTTAGATTACTGGTGCCAAGTCATACTATCAATCTGTAATTAGGTAGGTCATAAAATAGAACCAAAGCGAATACCTTTCTCTGTCCTTAGGTATAGACACTTTCTGATCCCGCAGTTACTGACATCTGGATTTGTGTGTAACTCTTTGCATCCTAGGGACCCTGTCGTAAAACGAATAATGTGGGCGCAGCCATGGCGTAGTTTCGCCAGTTATTCGCAGGTTGGCGCATTCTGCGCTGGCAGTTAATTCTATTTCGTTACCAGCCTACGTCGTTACGTAATTGTACGAGAGAGAGTGCCGCGCATGCGCCAACCAGTTGTGCATGCCTTGCCGCCGCCAGACAACGTGTTCGTTCCACTCGTGGTTTTTTGTTGTCGGATTTCTGCAGCTTGAACAGATAAGTTTTCATTTTTGTACTCAAGTTAATTTCTCTTTCTTTCACCGAAACCATGTCTTCTGATGACCTCGATATTGAGATCTCAGAAGAGCCATCTACAGTTCCCAAGCCTGATTTGACCTTTGATCCGAATCTTCTCATGACTTTGATGTCTCAGATGGAGCAAAGGTTAAGTGAGAATTCAAAAATTCTGTCAATTTTGGTCGAGAAAGACACAAACTTTTCCGTTTCAAATGAAGCATTTGACCCCGCATGTAAAAGGGCAAAATTGGGTCTTAATCCCTCATTTGTAGCTTCCCCGAAAGCACATCCTGCCTCATCACTGAATGCAATTTCAGCAGCTACAGAGATAGCAACAGCCACTGCTGCAGAGACAGCAACTAATGGGATGGGATCTCCCAACATTGACCTATCAAATGCTCGTCCCTCAGAGGAGGATGCCTTAAGTTTATTTGGAGGGGCGGAATTTGATCCTTCTGATCCATCAGAGATGGAAAATGAGGCCCTACTGACCTCAATTGATGAGGCCTTACTGCCATCCACAGAGAGAGGCCCACCTATTTCTGCCCAGCTGGCAAAAATTATCGATGGAAAATTCGGCACAGAATTTGACCTGTCCAAAACGGAAAGAAATTTTGGACAAATATCCCTCTCCTGTCAGAAATCGCTTAGCCAGCCTAACTTCTGACTACCCGTTAGATTAAAACTCGTTAGAAAAAACAATTGATTAACTTAAGAGGACTGTATTAGGTAAATCGAATAGAGACTGTATAGATATCATAGTCTAGAGTGACATAGATTTTACTCACATGTAGATTTTACCCTAGCATAGGTAGCATCTAAAATAGAGCCTATGGTGTCTCTCGACCGAATGAAGTCTGAAACGAATTCCTACTGAATATATAGCGATATAAAGGATTAATTTAGCTACATTACATCACTAAGGATTACATCATATGGCGCTGTTGGCCCTATGTCGCTAGGTTACACACACGCCTCCAGCTAAATATTTATTATCTACGTACTAAATACCATAACAACAAATACAAACAACCAGATGATTCTAAAATACCCTAGACGTAATCAGGTTGCCTAATAGATAAAAATAAATCCAAACACAAAAGAGGAAAAATGCGATTAATATACTTTCTTCATTCAAAGTCATTCAACTCTATCAGTAGCCAATTACCAATTCACGATACTCCTGAAAATTGCCAAACACTTTTTTCACCGAAGATAAATCCGGAGATCTGGGGTAAATTAAACCCTAACTCTAAACGGAATGACATAAAATTATCTGTTTTGCAAGATGGCCTACTAAAGGCCACATCAGCAGTCTCTGTTGCAGTAAGTGACCTCCTTTTTGCCAGAGAGCAAAAAACCACACCTGATTACAAGGCCCTAATTGGTGAATTAATTGATTCAATTGTTTTAATTGGTCACGTAAACAGGGAACTCACTTTTAAACGCAGGGACTCCCTCAGGCCCCATCTTAGTGCAGAATTTAAGCAAGTTTGTTCCAGGAATATTAAGCCTGGCAATTTTATTTTTGGGGATGATCTGCCTGAAACATTAAAGCAAATGAGGGCTACTAACAGAATTGTTAGGAGCGCTACCCCATTGTTATCTTCAGGTTTTTCTGCCCCTCGAAGTTATGGCCCAAGAACAGCCGCATCCCAGTACCATCATGGTATAGCACCAACTACTCCACGTAACTCTTTTTTAGGGTATCGGGGGAGGCTGCCATACAACCCCCGCCAAAACAATCGGCAGCAGCAGTTCACAAAAAAAAAGTTTATGAAGAACTAATTAAAGCTAAAACACAGGTAAATAATTTTCACAAGTTTGTCAGTACTTCCCTAATCCCCTATTTGCAATCTGAAGTTCAGTCCTTCAGTGCTGGACAACTAGCCAATTTTATTTCAGATTGGAATGAAATTACATCTGATCCACAAATTCTTTGCACTATTTTTGGTGATAAGATAGATTTTATTGGCTACCCACCACAGCAGGTCTCGTACCCGCCAAACTTTATTTGCAAATATCATGTCCAAAAGGCTGAAGAAGAGATCGTGTCACTTTTGGATAAAGGTGTCATTGTAAAATGTGAACATGAGCCTGAGGAATTCATTTCTCCTATATTTACTGTGCCTAAAAACGAGGATAACATCAGATTGATTTTAAATCTCAAAAAGTTTGATGAGTATGTGGAGTATGCACATTTCACAATGGAAACTATTCATTCTTGCACTTGTTACACCCAACTGCTGGATGGCATCCCTTGACTTAAAGGATGCCTATTATAGTGTAAGGGTTGACCTTGACCACCAGAAATATCTTAAATTTCAGTATAATGGACAGTTGTATAAATTCACCTGTTATGCCAATGGACTATCTTCATGCCCTCGAAAATTCACAAAGATTGTAAAACCCCCACTCTCTAAGCTTCGTCTCATGAATCATATTGTCACTGCATATATCGATGACTTGACTTGTATTTACAAAATGATACTTTTGAAGGCTGTGTGGAGACGGTTGTTGATACTACAATTTTTTTTGACAAACTTGGTTTTGTTATACACCCAGAAAAATCCCAGTTTGTACCATCACAACAAATTGTTTTTCTTGGGTTCATAATTGACTCTGTTGAAATGAAAGTCTATCTCACAGACAAAAGACGTCAGAAACTGTTCAATCATATAAATCATTTACTGCAGGATAGCAAAGATGTTACTATCCAATATGTAGCAAAAATCATTGGTCACATTGTCTCCAGCTTACCAGCAGTCCAGTATGGGCCTCTTTATTATAGGTGGCTTGAAAAAGATAAGTCAAGATCTTTAAAAGAAAACAAAGGGAATTTTAAAGCTACAATGTCACTTTCCCACAAGGCTAAATCTGATCTCAAATGGTGGTCAAATAACATTCAAACATGCTATAATGTTATAGTCCATCCCCCAATTACTGCAACTTTATATTCTGATGCTTCTCTGAAGGGTTGGGGGGCAGTACTAAATGATGTTTCGACTGGAGGACAGTGGTCTCCTCAAGAGGCTAGTTGCCATATCAACTATCTTGAACTTCTTGCCGCCTTCTTGGCCATTCGAGCCTATTCTAAACTTCTCTCACACCAACATGTGAGAATTATGATTGACAATACTGCAGCAGTAGGAATCATAAATAACATGGGCACTTGCCATAGTGATACTTGTCATGAATTAACTGTTGCAATATGGCAATTTTGTGTGGTACACAATATATGGCTTACAGCTGCCCATCTCCCAGGCTCTACTAATATAATTGCAGACAGAGAGTCTAGATCATTTGCAAATCAAGATTCTGAATGGATGTTTAATTCCACTACTCTCTGCAAAGCATTAAAAACCCTTTGTTTTAAGCCAAACATTGATTTATTTGCATCTAGACTTAACCACCAGTTTTCAAAATACTGTGCTTTTCGACCTGATCCAGATGCTGTTTGCATAGATACTTTTTCTATTGTGTGGTCACACCTTGATTTTTATTGTTTTCCGCCCTTTAGCTGCATTCTGACAACGCTTCAAAAGATCAAGAGGGAAAAGGCTACAGGAGTCCTGATTGTACCAAAATGGCCAACACAGTAGTATTACACAGTAGCTTGTCAGACCACCAGTAGTATTACCCCCATCTGCCCAGCATCTGTCTCTTCCAGCAGCTCCAGCCCAAAAACATCCCTTGTACAAGAAAATGACCATTCTTGTATGTTTATTGTCAGGGAAAAGTTAATGTCCCAAGGTCTATCCCCTGCTGCCATTGAAATAATAATGTCATCTTGGAGACAGGGTACCAAATCTCAGTATCAGTCATCCTTATTGAAATGGTTGGACTTTTGTATTGACCGCAAGATTGACTTTTTTGTCCCTTCAGTACCCCAAGCAATTGAATTCCTTTCCCATCTTTTCCACAATGGGTCATCATACAGTTCCATCAATACTGCAAGATCAGCACTTTCCTCATTCTTATCATTTGGTAGTGAGACCCCATTTGGGCAATTACCCATTGTTAAACGCTTCATGAAAGGAGTATATGAGTTAAGGCCTAACTTCCCAAAACATAAAGATATTTGGGATTTAAAATTAGTTTTTGATTATTTTGAGCCTAAACAGTTGAGCCTAAAGGACCTTACACTGAAAGTTACATTCTTGTTATTCTTATTGAGTGGCCAGAGATGCCAAACTATTCAATACTTGAATATTGATCATATGAAGAAGTCTTCAAATAAATATACATTTTATATAATGAAGAAAGTTAAGCAGTCTCGTGTAGGCAAGCATACAGCACCCCTGCAATTCTTACGTTACGATAATGATGATAAGCTTTGTGTTGTTCATCACCTGGATGAATATATATCCCGCACACAGTTGTTGCGAAGCTCAGAGAAGCAGTTATTGATAAGCTTCACAAAGCCACATTTACCTGTTTCTAAAGATACTTTATCAAGGTGGGTTAATGCGGCAGGGGCAGTGCGGGTGAATGACTCGGCCTTGGGTGTTGGCTTGAAAGCACGACCCGATAGCTCAGCGGTAGAGCACTTGACGTATAAAGTAGGACTGTAGAGTGTATGGAGGCATTTTAATTGAGTGGGTGAAGAGGATAAACATGGTACGGCGTGGCTCTGGGAATAAAGGGCTGGGAGAAATGGGAAGGGTTAAAAGTATCACCTGTGCATAACAGCATAAAGTTAGAGTTGGCGGGGTTGAGTTTGGCTATGGGAAGGGCGTGTCAAATGGGTTGGGTAGAGGAAGAAAGAGGGTACCTAATCTGGGAATGGGTTTGTATGTATAAAATGGTTGGAGGACAGGGCTGTTGAAAGTTTGGAACAAGGGGGGGGGGGGGGGGATGCCTAATCTGTTTCAGGGGCCCCATTTGAGGCCCCAATTAATTAGTGTAAATTTTGTATTTCGACATGTGCATGTTTCCTTGTATCAGACGCCACAATATCGTTGTCCATAGAGAATGTGGCGAGATTATTGGTGGAAAAATGATTGTTTTTGTTATAGTTACAGTTATATCAACGAGCTATAGTAAAATCACACTTACGAATACACCTGATGGGTCTATAGAGCGGTTGCAATAGAACCCCCTTGCCTCGTTTCCAATATTGCTGCCATCTTGACGGGCAAGGCGGCTTTTTCGAAAACGTAAACATGGCCACTCAAAGCAGCGAGATTTCTCTTTCGTCGTACGTTCAATCGATGGGAGCATCAGCGAAGACTCGGTACTTATCAAAAATCGAGTGCATTGAAGAAGACCCGTACTTGTTGAAAAAACCTGCTCTCGGCGAGAACATGAAACACTTGCCTAACGTAGACTACACTGACATTGTTAATTACCTTGTCTATTCAACAAATTACCTGACGGAGAAGGAGATAAAGGCGAAAAAGTCATTACAAGCTTATAAAAACTTCTTGAGTGGGTGGGTTTTAGAAGCGGCAACAAAATTATACAAGGACAAGTGCGTTTTGATAGGAACGTCATTCGCAGCATGCAAATAAAACGCCATTAAAACCATGGGTTCTTTTGAAAGCAGATGGAGAAATAGAAACAGCCCATTGCACATGTATGGCTGGTCTGGGAGAAGCTTGCTCAAATGTTGCGTCACTATTATTCTATGTAGATGCATTTCATCGTACAAAAGAAGCAACAACATGTACCCAAGAACAGTGCAAATGGCTGTTGCCTAAAGCGGTTAAAGAAGTGCCTTACCTACCTGTTGCTGAAATAGATTTCAAAGGGGCAGTAAGAAAGATGCAAGATTTTAATTTTGGCAGTAAAAGTAAGGAAGAAAGTCATGGGCCAGTTAAAAAGAAGAAAATGGAAAATGCTTGCTCTACTGGTCAAGATACGAAGCAAAAGGAATTCCTTAACAAGATTAGTTTGTGTGGTACTAGACCAGCTATTTTGTCAATAGCAGAGCCTTTTAATGAAGGTTTTGTTCCCTTTGGAGCCATCAGCAACCTGTATCTACCAGAATTGTATTCTCCTTCAAATTCAGGGTGCTCTTTTGATATTATTCAAAGGAAATGTGCTGAAGTTGTGCTGCCAGTATTGTCAGAGGAACAACTTCAGAGAATCCAAAAAGAGACAGCAAAGCAGTCAAAGTCAAAGCTTTGGTTTAGGCTCCGGTCTTGTAGAATCACTGCTTCAAGACTCAAACAAGCTTGTAGTACTGATGTCTGCAACCCAAGCAAGAGCCTGATAAAATCCATATGTTACCCAACAGAGTGCATATTTACAAGTGACGCTGTAGCTTGGGGTTTGGAAATGGAGAGCATTGCTGTAGCTGCTTATGTAAAAGCCATGGAAGCAGAACACAAAAATTTTCAGTTTTTCAAGGCAGGATTGATTTTAAACAATAAATGGCCATTTTTAGGAGCCTCCCCAGATGGTTTGATATGTTGCGAATGCTGTGGGGAAGGTGTTCTTGAGGTCAAATGTCCTTACAGCTGCAGAGAAATTTCACTGAATGAATATGCTTGCAAAGCCGATTCCATGCTAGTGCCTTTATGCCGCTCATTTGCACTCAAGCATGGGCATCAATATTATTTTCAAGTTCAATGCCAACTAGCAATGTCTGGGGCAAAGTATGCGCATTTTGTAGTATGGACACCAAAGGAAACACATACTGAGACAATCTATCCAAACCAGTCTTTCTTTGATGTTAATGTTAGTAAAGCAAAAAAGTTCTTTCAGCTCTGTGTCCTACCAGAACTACTTGGAAAATACTATACAAAACAATGAGATAATAACAAAATCAGATAATATTTTTCTGTTTTATATATTTCTGTGAATTTTTATAATAATAAAAATTAATCATCAGACAGTTGGTAATAAAAGCTAAAAGATGATATGGAAAGACATACATTATTTGGTGTGCAAACAAAAGAGTTTTCTATATAAAAATAGTAAGAGAACAACCAAGAGAATATTAGTATATAAGGTACAAAAACATGTGGCAACATTTCAATTACAAAAAGCCATTTGAAAAACAATGATTGTTAAGTTTGTTTTAATCAGTTAGATTTTGCTAGACTATAAGGTTCAGAAAGTGGATGGAAAACTTTTTTGTCTCAATAGAAAAAGGCATTTTTCCATATGAAGAGAGGTCCTATGAAAAGTAGATAAAAAACAGCTGTGAATATAAGTTAACCAAAAGTAAAGAAACTAATTGAAAATGAAAATATATACAACAAGAAAACTAATTAAATGGAACAACAGAGTCACAAATGTTTGTAAGAGCACAGCACACCACTGCTATCTTGTCTATCTGGGGACTGGAATGTTGACTATAACATGCTTCAACGGGAAGAATACCACTAAGGATTTGGAATTTCTGACGTACCAGGCCTATAACTCGTTCAACATGAGTTCTCACATTTGCAATTCTTCGTGTCTCTTCAACTTCAAGGGATGATAATTGGCCTTTCCCTTTGGTAAAGGCTGGTATCTCCAATCTGGCCCCCTTTAGTGCCACACTTTCGCTGATGATGAAGCCCCTGTCTGCCAACACAATGTCACCTGGAAGCAGTCTGTTTAAAATGTGACAGTTTTCTGTCAAATATTTGTCACTCGTGCGACCTCCCCATGCCTTGGAAATGAAAGAAATGACACCTTGTGGACAGATACCAATCAAAAACTTTACTGTATTATGATGTTTATAATTGCTCCAAGTGCATGCACGGGCCAATAAATCACCTGGACGCTCAATAAATACTTCAAAGCAGTCGATCACAACAACTACTGTACGACCATAGGCTTGAACAAAATCATGAGGCATAGTCTTTTGGAGCTCTTCTCTGTCTGGCCACTTTATGAGAAATTTAAGCTCTCTAGCCATGACATCGATCCATTTATCAAAAATTCTTGAAGCCGTTGACTTCGAAATATTAAAACGATAAGCCAAATCCTGAAATGTTAAGTTTAACCTGAGACTTATCATAGTGAGCAAAAACTCTTGAAACATTGTCAAACAATTCCGGTGTGTTTGTGAAATAGAGTCAGCAAGGAATGAAAACACTGACATCAACAAAAGATAATTGGGCATACCGGTTAAAAACGAAACCATTTCGTTATCCTGCTGCAATCTATTAATATCGATTGGTATCATAGAAATTACTTTTTCTTTTAGACCTTTATTATCGTTCTCCAATAAAGACAAGTTTTGCTCCAGGTTTTCAATATCAAGCATCGTAAAGTCCGTCTGAACCCCAATTGAAATTGACTTTGGAGATGAGCTGTTTCCATCGTTGTTAGTCGATTGCTCGTCGAACGTAAAGGACTCAGTGTTATCTACGACATCTGTAGGCCGGTCTAAGCCTTCCAATTGCGAAGCGGTACGTTTTCCTGATCGCTCCTTGCGTCTTTCCCAGCGAGAAGAAGTTTCTGATTTTACATTTAAATGACCTAAACGCAAGGTGGGGGCCCAATCTGGGTGGGACTTTTGAAACAGAGCCGCGGGTTTACCAGTTATGAAATGATCAGAACAAACCCAAACAAACTTTTTCCCCTCGAGATCTGCACGTCGTATGTTACTTAGCCACTTATTTCTTCGTTCAGTAGAATACTCCTTCGTTTGCTGATCCAAATGCGTTATTATTTTTTGCAAACGATGAAATGAGCGGTTTTTTTCGCGGTCGGACCGATTTGAACACCCGAAAACACTGCAACAGTTCACCATATTGGATCAACGAGCACCGTCATAATGGCGGATGCGAGGTTACGCTAAATGGTTGCTGGGCAACAGATGGGTATTGAAACCGCTCTATTGATTGAGTTGTAATGGCAGTTATGTTACATTGTGTATTTCACTGAAAAAGCCGTTTGATTTGGACATGAAGTTTAATTGTTATATTTCCAATACGAGGAAATAGTTAATCAGTAAGTGTTGTCATACTGGCCTCATACCAAAGAAGAAATAGATAAGAACACATTGGCGAGCCGTGAATTATGTTTTTATAGGCATAGAAGGTAAAAACTAAAAAACCAATATGTGAATAAAAGTATAAAATCCAAAATAGAAAAATGAGAAAAAAGGAGTTAAGGAGTAGTCACTACCACCTGGTCACAGCCTCAAACTCCGATTGGGGGTGGTTGTGTGTGCCCTTGTATGTTTTAAGCAATTAGCTTGTAAGTGGGCAGAAAATGATAAAAAGGCAACTCATCAGCCAGAAACCCACGAGGGACATTTCGGGGCTTTAATTCGGTATGTCCGTTTCTCGTGGGCGCCCCTCGCAATCCTGCGTCCAGGATCACGGTTGCAAAATAAATATATACGCAAATAAGAATGAAAATTTAATAATCAGTGGATGCCGTACCTCTAGTGTAATATTTACATATTGTAAAAGTTAAGGGCGCATGATGCTTAGAGAAGCGGCTTTGTGTTGATGGCCTACTTTAGAGTGTACCAATCGATCCTTGAGGTTAGGCCTTCTGGTGAGGGCTAGAACCGGTCTGGTGTCATTCCATATTTGTTTAAGATAAGCATCAGCTGAGATCAAGTGCCAATGTTTAGTAAGGACGGAACCTAATATGCCGGGGCGAAATATTAGAGAAGCCCTGTATGCCGGGGCGAAATATGAGTATACTCTTAAATTTAATTTATTTTGAAAATTTATTTCGTGACATTGGATTCTCGTCGTCGTATTGCTTTGTTCCTGTATACCTTTCTTTTAAATATTATATGTTTTTATATTAGCTGATAACAAGGCCAGGGGCGGATACAGAATAAAAGTTGACGGTCGCACATAAACACTATTCAGCAGGCGGTCTAGGGGGCCTCCCTCGTGGTGAAGGGTAGAGCCATGATAGGGACCCAGCCCCCTCCTTCCTCCTGGAACCAGAGCAACTAGGTTTAATTTCAAAGGCAAAAACCCTAAAGCTCACAATGTCAATTATTGCAACCACATTAAATAGATTCGAATAAATTCGCCTTTTTTTCAAGAAAGTCATCTTGATTTTTGGTCTAGAATATTATTTTCATGTCTTGTAGGCGTTAGTTTTCTAACTGTGATTTGTCCCGTATCTTCAGGAGCGGAAGTTGCCTCACCAACGAGGTTTGCAGGCCTTGTAGGAGTTTGAGGGTGGCGACAGGACTGGGGTCCTGAAACGTTCAAATTGTTCAGTCAAATTCAAATTCAAATTTTCAAATTCAAATTTTCAAATTCAAATTTTCAAATTCAAATTTTCAAATTCAAATTCATTGGTATTCAGCAACTAATTACAGGGTACTTAAATTAATTATTATAGTAGTTAATACAGAATATATGACATTTATTTTAGCTAATAACAAATAAGTTGGCTAGGACGCTGGGAGGAACCGAAACGGTTTTCGAGCCTAGCACCCTAAGGTAATAGTTAATCGTACAGTATAACAGTAACAATGGAACAAGTAAAAGTTAATTACAAGTAGAAACTAATTACTAACAATTTTGATTTGAATTTAACATATAACAGAAGAAGAATAGAAAAATATTAAGATTAAGATACAAATATTGAGAAAAAAAGAACAAAATACAATTCCAGATTTTAACTCCATTGAACGTAATGAATCTCTTTTTAAGGTTAGTTCTTGCTTGGGGGATAGCAAATTTTTGTTTTGCAGCTTGCCGTGTATCATAGCTATGTCTTGATGTTGTCTTTTGGAAGAGCTGGCAAAGAAAATCCATTTGGGTGCCTGTGTTTACGTCATACATAAACTTTGCACATTGCAGGGTCTAACTATCATTGAGGTTTAATATATCAAATTTATGGTAAATTGGTTTGGAGCTTGCTGTGTTTTTAGCAAAGTTCATTATTCGTAGAGCTTTGTTTAGATTTCGGCCCATAGGTTTTAGGGAGGACAGATTTGCACTCCCCCAGTTAATTAAAGCATAGTTGACGTGAGGCTCGATAAAAGAAAAGTATAAGTTCCTTAAGATTTGTGGAGGAACATAATGCCTAACCTTAGCTAGTAATCCAATGCCTTTAGAAATTTTTAGATTTACCTGTTGAATGTGTTGTTTCCAGCTAATGTCCTTATCTAAGAGTACACTAAGGTATTTTATACAATCCTTTTGAGCAATTGATTTGTTATTAATTGCTAAGTTTATTTTATTTGTTTTATTTTTTATCGAGGGAGAGATTATGAGGAAGTTAGATTTATCAACATTTAAGGTCAGTTTATTGGCTACTAACCAGTCTGAAACTTTGCTGAGCTCATCGTTTACGATTAATTCTAATTGACTTAGATTCTTATGCGAGAAGAAGATACTAGTATCATCAGCAAAGAGGTGAAATTTTAGGATGTTCGACGAAAACAGCATATCGTTAATATATAGAAGAAAAAGCAAGGGCCCAAGGACACTGCCTTGTGGGACTCCAAATTTTATATTGCAAGATTCTGATAGAGTGCCATTTATGCATACTTTTTGTGATCGGTTTGTTAGGTAAGATTTGAACCAATTAAGGGTTATGCCTCTTACTCCGTAATATTCAAGCTTGTTGATTAGTAAATTGTGGTCAACAGTATCAAAAGCTTTAGCAAAATCTAGAAAGATACAAGTTGAAAACTGTTTGTTTTCAACAGCATTTACTAACTGTGTACAGACTTCGAGTATGGCAAGAGAGGTTGATTTGTTTTTTTGGAATCCAAACTGGTGATTAAAAATTATTTTATGCATATCAAGGAACTTTATTAGTCTGGCATGCATTAATTTTTCAAATATTTTATTAAAAATAGGAAGTAGGGAGATAGGTCGGTAGTTTGTAACCTCAAGTTGAGACTTTCCCTTGTAAACGGGCACTACTTTAGCATATTTCAGCATAGTAGGACAGACTCCCGAGCTAAAGGATTCATTGATTAGATCTGTCAATGGTTCTTTTAAAGAATTGCCAATACATTTGATAAGTTTTACGGGTACATCATAACGCGATATTAGTAAAAAAATTGTTGAAAGCATTTGCTACACTTTTACGATCCGATAACAAGCTACCTGCAATATTCAATTGGAAACTGCGTGAATTTTTTGCTTTATTTTTATGAAGAAAGTCGTTGATGCCTCGCCATATTTTTTTAGAATCATTTTTATAAGTTTCAAAATAGGACAAGTGATACAGTTTTTTGCTGAGTCTTATGACGTGATTTAGCTTGTTTTTGTAAATTTTATAACGTTGGAACCAGAAAGTGTCTTTAGTTTTAATAAACTTTTTATAAAGTGAATTTTTAGTTGAAATAGCCTTTAAGATGGAAATCCAGGGTATAAGCTGTTGTTTACGTTTGGTTCTTTGTCTCAGTGGGGCGTGTTTATTAATAATAGTTAACAGCTGAGATTGAAACAAGTTATATTTTGTATCTAGGTCATTTGAGTTTACAAGACTAGAATTAAAATCTATTTTATTGATATCATCTATGTAATTTTTATTAACAAAGTTTCGATAATCTCGCGACATTGTTATGTCTTTGGTGTTATTTTTACCTTTTGCATCATATATTACGAAATTGGGTAGATGATCTGAAACCTTATCGATAAGATTTCCACTAACTGCGTTCAGCTGAAGAGAATTGATGAATATATTATCAATTAAACTAGGAGTAGAAGTATCATTTATTCTCGTTGGTTGGATAATTAATGGTCTTAGAAAGTTTGCAAGCATTAAGTTAAGAAAGGAATCAGCACATGGTATTTTATCAAATTTTAGAAGATTAAGGTTGAAATCTCCGCTTAGTATGACTAATTTGTTTTCTCGGCCTATTTTATTAAGGACAGTTTCAAGGTATTTTAGAAAACCTGAGGAGTCTTTGCAGGGATGCTTGTATGCAACACCGATCAAGGTAGTTTTTCCCTTAGGGTTATTAATCTCAATCCAGAGTGATTCGAATTCGCAATTTTTATCTTTTGAAGCTTTTGAAAGATCGTCACGTCGAAGAAAAGATAGGTGGTCAGCTAGAAAAAGGCCACAGCCACCCTTAAGGCTATTGCCTGTTAGTCCCTGATAGTCATGGTAGCCTTCTAACCTGAGCTGACTTATACAGGCATTGTTTTGCTTGGTATGCCAAGTTTCAGTAAGTGCTAGAATATCAAATCTATAGTCAAGGTTACAGAGCAGAGTTTGTAGGTTTCCAAGATTTTTCCGGACGGAGGAGATGTTTGTGTGTAGAATACCCGACGTATTATTTTTATTTAGGTTTAGCTTTTGAGTAAGTTTATGGAATTCATGGTTATCATAGTAGTTAAAATTAGTGCTGTCATCTAGATTGGTATCAACATCATTTGTGAATAGCATTTCGTGTTCTTTAAAAGCTAGTTTACAAGTTTTAAGGCTATCAAAGTGACTCTAGTTTACTAGGGAGATACCCGAGGATTGACATTTACATGAGAAATTGGAGTTGAAAGAAAGAGTAGACAGTTCATCGTTGTCGATCTGTGAGAAAGGAAGTGAAGATAATAGACTAGAAATGCAGTGTGGACATTGCCAAGATGTTAAATGAGAATCAACTTCATTTATACAGAAAGTGTTTAACTTGGCACATGTTTTGTGAATGAGATGAAGGCATTGACCACAGGGAATGGAATTTATGGCAGAGCGGATAGACTTCTTACAGACCGAACAAGTTTTGTCATATCCTGTTGATGCAGATGTGATAAGATTGAATTTGGAGACGGATTTAGCACTTGCAGTAAAATTAAGCTCCCTATTGAG